GATCAACCATCACATTATTCGGCTAACATTTTAATGTTTTCAAAAGTTGAAAGCTCTTCCGATTTTGCTATTTGGGCAACAACTACTAGGGTTTCTTGGTGTTTTGGTTTTTAACAGATATTTTAAGGATATGATTAAAGGGGTACTCTGGCCTAAAAGTTGTCTTTTAAGAATTGCGATCATTTATATCTTATTCAATGCGTTTTAATCTTTTCTACAACTATTTTCTATATGAAAAACAAGGTTTCCAATCGAGAAATGAAGAAAAACTCAATTTTTTGTTTTCCATTCAACCCTAAAACGGGCAAAAAGTATATAAATGTTTTTTCCAATTGCATTTTAGCACTTGCGTTCTTTTCTTTTGCATATATTTTCTCAAATTTAAAAGCAATTTTAAATGTTTTCTTTGTTTTCTTTGTTTTTTAATAGGAAAGATTAAATTTTCAAAGAATAATTTGAAATCAGACTTAAAAAGACGTGAAAAACAGGTGAAAACAAGTGAAAACAATTTGAAAAACAACAATAACACTGACTTTCCTTTAGCCGGTGTATTCCTTGAGTGACGATCTTGCTTTTCTCCAAGCCTTGTAGTGTCTCCAAGCCTTGTAGTGTCTCCAAGCCTTGCAGTGTCTCCAAAAATTTGTAAACCCATCAAATCACTCTAGCCGGGTGATTTTGATTCTTTTTATAATAAAATCAGCGATATTAAAATAAAAAAAATAGGTGGTTGCTGTAAAAAAAATTTTTATCGTCACCCGGCCGCGATTAATACCCCCCCCCCCCCACCCTTTAAAAAATAAACACTGACTTTCCTTTAGCCGGTGCATTCCTTTAAAGCTTTTCCCCTATATTTTTCTACATTAAATTGTTGAAATGATTTTACTTCAGAACTCTGTTTAAATTTCTGTTTAAAAACAATCACACAGGTGGCTACGAAAGTAAAACAATTTTTGAATCATTCGAATCATTCGATCATTTCCTCCAAAAGACAAAGCTCGATTTTATGAATCATGAGAGAAATTTTCTTTGAAACTTTCTTTAAAACTTTCTTTGAAACTCTCAAAAAAAAAAGCAAAAGCTCTTTTAGAAGCTTTTTTTAGTCGAAAATTTCATATAAAAAGCAAGACTGAACTTTTGAAATAAATAATAGAAAAAGAACAATTCTTAAAGCTGAACTTGAAGCTGAACAAATTCTCTTTACAAACCTCTTGACTTATTCATCGTTTTTGTTGATTGAACGGTCTTCATTTTCTCTTTTCTTCTTTCATATTCGTTTTCCTCCTCGAAGAGTCATCCCATGACCTTGGCTTTCCTTTTGTGTAAAAAGAAAAGCCTACATTTTACTTCCCCAAAAAAAAAGGTCCGTTGGATCCTCTTCAGTCAATTGTCCTCTTCAAAAATCTTTCTTTTTTTTTCTCAAAATCCCATCGGTTGTCATCTTTGAGTGAAATCGATTAGCTGAACAAAAGTAGTTCGACTTTTCATTGATCTTAAGGCTTCATTTCATTCTTCTTCATTCCTCTGCTATCCGTTTTTTTTACACGATTCCTTTGGGATCCGTTGAGATCCCGGACTCTCTTTTTGGACTCTCTTTTTGTGGACTCTTGATTTCTCAAGTGGAAATCTGAGGAGATTTCTGTATTCGATGATTTCTATTTTTGGATCTAAAGAAACGAATCCATTTAACAATAGGAATTTGTTTTATCTTATCGAGTAAAATGTAAAATACAAATAAAAGCTCTTATTATTATGCTGAATGCTAGTATTTTGTAGTTGTAGTAGTATAAACAAGTTTCATAATATATTTTGACACTCAAATCACCATCAATAAGATCACCAATCGGAAGATCACCAATCGGTAGATCACCAATCGGTAGATCACCAATCGGAAGATCACCAATCGGAAGATCACCAATCGGAAGATCACCAATCGGAAGATCACCAATCGGAAGATCATCAAACATTTAACAATAAGGATTTGTTTTATCTTATCGAGCATAAGTGTAAAAAGCAAATAATAACTCTTATTATTATGCTGAATGCTAGTATTTTGTAGCTGTAGTATAAACAAGTTTCATAATATATTTTGACACTCAAATCACCATCACTAAGATCACCAATCGAAAGAGTCGATTTTCCCACAGAAAAACTGTGACTAGGGAAATGTGATGGAAAAGGGTAGGGAACAGAGCAGAGGAGAGGACAAGGGATACCCCCCGTCAATCGATCAATCGAGCACCCTCTTCTTTCTCTTTTCCAATCTCAAGTCGACCTCTCTATCCCTTTCTTTTCTTTTCCCCAATCTCCGTTACTCTCTCTCTAACCGTCTTTTCTCTTTTGAGAGACCACACCAAACATTTCGATGCACCAATGGATTGGTCCCAAGTCTCTTTCTATCGCTTTAAGACTGGATTTCAAGATTTTTTTTGTATCGTTTTCTGTATTGTTATCTTTTTTGATCTTTTGTGTACACTTTTCATAGCTCTTAATGCATAGAATTTTGAATTTGATATAAGAGTAGAACTGGACATAAGAATAGCACTGGACAATGAAATATCATATTTGAAATATTTGAAAAACGATCATCACTTTCGCGCGTCTGTAACTCCCTTGTCTTTGCGTTTAAACTATTAGTGTTATGCATTTTCTGAAAGCTCTTTTCAAGGGCTACACAATGGTAATATTAATATTTAGAAATACGGTAAAGACAAGGGGGAGTTACAGACGCGCGAAAGTGACGATCTTTTTTTCGAATATGATATTTCATTGTCCAGTAGTGTAGAACTAGAGCTAGAACCTAGAACCTAATAATTTAATATTCCTCTAGCGTTTTGAAATTGATGATTTCCCAGTATAAGCCAGTATAAGTATTTTCAAACAAGTCTTTCATATTCGAAATGTAAAATTCTTTCTTTCTTTCTTTCTCTATTTAAACTGTTGTTTGTAGAAATAAGATCTTAACAATGAATATTCATAATCAGCTGAATATTCATTGAATATCCCTTTCCCTCAAGCTGATAATCTAGATTATCATCTTGACCATCACCTTTAACTTTCCAGTAATTGCAACTAAAACTTGAGATCAGGAAATTGTTGACCTAAGTGTTGTCCTTACTTTCCAGCAATTGCTTGTTGATTTCATTTCACACACTAGGGAACTCCTCAAAGCAATTGAATTCATTGTCTCGGGGTAAATGGGGTGGGTCCCTTGATTTTCTGCTAAAAGAAGAGACAAATCTACAGAGGAGAAGACAAGCAGCACATGCCCCATCCATTCGATCGTCCCTCAGTCCCTCAGTCCCTCATTCCCTCATTCTCTTTCCCTCAATCGCATCCACACACCAAACGATCCAACAAATCTTCACACACTGAGGGGTTCCTTTCCTCTCTTTCTCTTTTCAATCCACAACCTCTTGATCTTGATTTTCCAGTTTCTTTCCCTCACATTTTCTTTTCTTATTGTCTAAGGGATATTTTTTCAGTTGACAAATAATTTGTCATTTTTTTAAAAATCTAAACTTTTCTTGTTTCATTCATATTGTTTTAAATATTATTTGGATTTTAAGCAATCATCATCAGCATCAGTTTCTCAAATTTAAACTTTAATCTAACTTTAAACTACCTTAAACTACCTTTAAACTAACTTTAATCTAACTTTAAACTAACTTTAAACTAACTTTAATCTAACTTTAAACTACCTTAAACTACCTTAAACTAACTTTAAACTAACTTTAAACTAACTTTAAACTAACTTTAAACTACCTTAAACTACTTTAAACTAACTTTAAACTTTAAACTACCTTAAACTACCTTAAACTAACTTTAAAATAATCTCAATCTCTGTAGTAGAAACTTTGTACTCATTAAAAGCTTTAAAATCACTTTCCCTTTGTACAAATGTTTTTCCTCTTGTTCTCATTTTGTAATTGTATTTTAAAACAGTTTGTAATTGTATTTTAAAAGAGTTTGATCAAACGTAAGCATAGCATTTTCTTAATCTTAAATGAATTAAGAATTTTTTTATAATAAAATGAAGATTACGCATTTAAATCTCGATAATTTTATGATGAAAAGAAAAAAGAAAAAAGAAAATAAGAAAGAAAAGAAAGCAATAGCGATAATCGATCACTTCACATCTTTCTCAGCTCTTTTTTCATCTTTTCCCCCAAAAAGCGTTGTGTTTCACGCTATGAGGAAAAGGGAAAAGAATTTTCTGATGTGTAAAGTGTTTTTTTGTTTCTTCTATGCTTATTGCTTTGTCTATCATCATTGATATTTTTGCTTTTAACACATAGAATCATCTTTGATCAACGAGCTATTTTTAGTGATCAAAACTTTTCTCAACGTTATATTGTTGACTGTTATCTTTTTTGATTGATTGAAATCTTTTGATTGATTGAAATCGAAACACACCCGCTCTGGTGTACTTTAAAGTCTTCATTTTTCTTATCGATTGAGAGTAAATTAAGGATTTAATGTTTTAGAAAGGAAATGCTTTTAAATTTGAGCATAGTCTGAGAAAAAAAAGTTGCGGGAAAACTGAAGTAACCCAGTTGCTAGTTGTAAAAGAGGTTTTGTTTTGAACAAAAAGCGCTTTGTTTTTTCCCGCTTTGTTTAGTTGAAAGAAATTTTGCAGAGAATCTCAGTACATCTGGTGTGACTAATGATTTTGACTGTTCATCCCACAAAAAAAAACAATTTCTTTTTGCGATTTCTCGCATTAGAAACTAGGGAAAAGGAAGAGAAAAAACAAATTTTAACAAGGAAAAGGAAGAGAGAATAAAACAACTTTTAACAAGGAAAAGGAAGAGAAATAGAAAGAAAAAAAACCATTTACTCATCCACATTGTGAGGGTTTTTCTTGGAAATTTCATAAGATGTTGGAGAAATTTTAAACAAAAAAAAAGCTCGTCATCTTGAATCTTTTCTTTTTCTACTTATCTTTTTGTTTATCTTTCTTAAAATATTCGACTCAACTTTTTTGCAACTCTCAATTGCAGATGTCGAAGCAGCCGGTGCGGGTGGTGGCCGCCCCGCAACAACCCACAACTATCCCACAAAGGATACCACCAACCGTTCATGTGCCACCGAACACTGGAAGGTGAGTCGAGAATCTTATTTTCATATTTTCATATTTTCTATGATATTTTCATGATGCTCTAACTGACACATAGTACAGAAATAAACGCAAATTTTCTCAAATCAATACCATTCGCCGTTTTTCTAGATCCTACAACGATATGATGGAGATAGCCGAACGGCAACGAAAACAAATCGAGGCGAATCGGTGAGAAAAAATGTGACTGAAAGATTAACAGCAGAAAAAAAAGACAGAAATCTCAAAATATTCAGTCATTGAAAAGCTTGGTTTTGGTTTAATAAGTTAAAGTTATTAAAATCTGTTTAGCCACGCTTTCTTTATTCATTTGTTTAAATTATTATTTACTTTATTTAAAGCTATTGTAAAATCTCAGTCTTTTGTTTCACTAGCAGGAATAAAACCGTTAAGATTGAATAAATTTAAAAAATTTGTTCGAATGTTACTTGAATAATTGCATTTGGAAATAGATTGGCGTTGACTAGCTGATTCGATTCGATAAGCAATATTAGATAAGCAATATTCAATAAAGCTTATCCAATAAAGCTTTAAAAATTTTCAATCTTTCAGGGTGGAAGAAGAAAGGCGAACGAAAGCGAGAACGGTTGGTGGAGACGTGCGGGAAAGACTGCAGCAGAAACAACGAGGAGTGGCCGAGGGGGAAATGGAATTGCAGAGGTGAGGCGGGCTATATTTGGGTATTACTTAACGTCTATTCAACACAAGTATCCCAAAAAATGTTCCCAAAACACCCCCGAAACGCTCCGAAAACACGCAAAGCACGAAAGCCTTAAACACAAATTGATAATGGGAACATAATTCAAAACTCAGCTTAATTCTAAATGAAAATAGATATTCAGTTGTCAAACTCAATAGCGTAAACTGCACTTTAATAAGGGTTAATTGAGAAAATTTTCTTCAAGGAACGCTCTGATAAACATTATTTTTATGCTTTTAATTCTTTTATCAAATTTAAATCGCAAATAGATATTAAATTGATGTGTTTTCCAGATTGCGAGAGCTTGAGCAGGCGACGAACGCTCTCCGCCACAAAAACAACGAGTCGAAGAAGATGCTTGGCGGATTTCAGGTATTGAAGTTTTGAATTTTTAGTGCCTATTTGATTTTTGGCAAATACCGGCTTTGTTTAGCACTCTTAAAGTATACTAATTTAAGTTAATATGTAGTTATGTTTAGGTTGAATTTGAAAATCAAGAAGCGATCTTGCGACAAGTTTGCACGCGGGTTTTCGGCTTAAGGGCACAGGTGGGATTTTTAATGTTTATAGCATGTAGATTATAAAACTTATCTGATCTTACTCTGATTTTTAATTAAGTAATTTTTAGGTTGAGGAGCTACGCCGGAGAAAAGAGCGAGCCCGGGCCGATGCCGCGGAAGTGAATCGAGTCGTGCAAACACAATTGCAGGTTGGTTTTTTTTTGAACACTTGTAACCTGATAAATTTTAATAGTTCTGTGCAAGCTTTATAACAATTTGTATCAATTTCTCAATTTTAGGTCCGACAACACCATCAACAAAAGGTCGTCAAAGAGGAACCACCACAAATTCGACCGCGAGCCTCCGTTGAGCCATTCAATGTTCAGGTTTGTAGTTGTTTTTTTAATAAGAGAATCATAATCATTTTTTAGTTAGCAAAACAATTGCCATCCGAAGAGGTCAAGAAGAACATCATCGATCGACGAGTTGACGTTGAATACAAGTACGTGGATAAGCGCCACGGCTTTTTGCCGTTTTTAACTCTTGGTTGCGATAACAGTGTCTTATTTTAGCCAAACTCCATTGATGGTTTGCCCTCCAGCTGATGACACTGCTTCCGAATCATCTCAGTCCACTGTACCCTCTCCACCGGCTCCTCCACGTGAAAAAGCACCCAGCCCCAGCCCCAGTCCGCCAAAGGTAAGCTTTAAATTGATCTCTGGAACAAGAAACTGTAAGCCAAGCTCTTTGAGCCATTATATTTTTGGAGAACTTTCTTTGATCCTGAAACATACGAAGTGTTCTGTGGGAATCGCTAGGTGTGGAGGATTAACGTATTAATTAATGAGTTTACTGCCGAATAGATAGTGTTCATGATATTTTTCGTGTTTGTGACGGGGTGATTCATTTCGTTTTCTAGGACCCACATCCCTCCAATCCGCCACCGATTCCACCGCAACCATCGGAAAAAGAAATCCCGCTACCCGTGGTCAGCTTGGTGAGTTTACTGCTTAATACCAACATAATAATATCTTTTTTTAGACATCAGCAAAAGCATCACTTTCCGTGACAATCGAACGGCCTTCCACTTTGCCTCACGAAATGATCCCTGAAAAAACGGTGAGTGGTTTGTTGAATACTTTCTTAAAGTCAATAATTGAATATGAATTTGGCTGTTTTAGACAATTCCTGCTTCATCTTCAACGATTCCAAGTGGTGATCCGATGGAAGAAGTGCTACGATTGAGGCAATCGAGAACCGATCTCGTCTCACTCAGACCCCATTCACTTCAAGCGACAAAAAGAAGGTAGAACTTATGAATGAAACCTACTTTTGAAATTTTATGAAGCAGCTAGGTGTTTAAATTTTATAATACAATCATTTTAATTGACTTTTTGTTATGAAATTGCTTTTCAGATCTTGGGCAGCCTCCGAGTCGTCGACAATGCCCGAGTTGGATGCCATCAAGCGGGCAATCTTGGACGCGCAAAAACGAGGCGAAACTCATTTTGCTCCACAGGTATATCTTGAAAAATTTTTGCTAAAAACTGGTTCGATTTTCTTTATAGGTCACAGCGAATGTGACGGTACCAAAAATTGTCGAGCCGATCGCGGAAGAGACAAACGTTTTGGCACCCGTGAAAGAAATCGATGAGATTCGAGATGCGGCCACTGATGAGGAGAGCACGGAGACGAAGAGTGACGAGGAATCGACAAAGAATATGGAGGTGAGTGAATGGAGGGAAGGTTTAACAATGTGTAACTGATAGTTTTTGTTACTTTGACGGAAATCACTTAAGTACCAACTGGTTTCGCAAAGATTTTGTTTCTCCTTTTCGCTCTATAAAGAAATGCGACGTACCTTTTCTGCTGAGCTCTTTGGATCTTTGGAGAATATTGAAACACCTAGAATCTCTGAGCTTTGATTCCAGACTTTGAGATCTTATTTTGCCTTCCCGAAAAGCTTTGATCCATTTTCGGCCGTGTTCCATAAATCTACTTATCCCCGCCGAAAGCCCATTTAAATCGCCGTGTTTCCTGAATTCGATTTTCATTGGGTCTTCGGTTAGAGAACGATTTTTTGTGTGAGGCAAACGAACGAAAAAACAAAGTTTCGACCAAAAGCCGATACTTCAACGGTAAAACTGTTTTTGGGATAACTGTAATACTGAAATATTGCAGATTTGGTCACCTAGGTCAACTTTTCACATTTTTGCTAATCTTAAGTGCCCTCGTCTAGTAGTCAAAAATCTGGTGGCGATCTGTCAAGGAATTGCCCTAGGCCAGCCGTTTTTTTTTTCATCTATCACTTGGAGAAAAAAGAGGAGCCTAGGCGGATCTCGAAGAGAACATTGGAGCTATTCTAGAGTTGGGGCCAGGGGTCCCCTTCCCTTCTATCCAGGGTCTTCCGTGGCCCTTCCCCGACCCCTTCATCTTGTCCTTCCTCCTTCCTTTTCCGGGTCGGCCTCGTTCTCCTCTGGGAAATTGGCCCTCTTTTTTTCTGCGGCGATCTCAAAGAGAAACAAATTATCTCTTTGAAATCCCTTGGAAATCCCCTTTAGTCCTTGAAATTTTTTTTTGGCCCACACCTAAAAACTCTTTTTATTGCTCGATTTTGGGCTCTAAATTAAAAAAGTTTGCAAAATTTAATGTCCTGAAAGGGCAAAGGTCTTTTTATTTTGAGTTGGTTCAAAACTTACACCCAAATTGGGTGTTTATTTCAGCATTTTTATTCTTCTAAAAATAGGTTTTGGTTTTAAAAATTTTCACCGATGTTTTGCCGCTTTTTTGGTGTCTCGACTTTGTTAGAACGGAAGCCGAGTGGTCACCCAACCACCATCAACCCAACGCTGAATTGGAGTCTTTTTCTTCTTGTGAATCCCCATGATTCGCTAACAATCCCTTTACATTGCCCCCTTTCTCTTTCGCTGTTCAACTCAATCCCTTCTCTGAACAAAAAAAGTGTGAATTTGGGGCCAATCCACACTGTGACGCCCCCAATTTGGCGAGGGCGAGATGTGTTTTTGTCTACAATTCATGAAAACAAACTCACTTTTTTTCGAGAACCGTTCTGATACTTAGGTCGGAGAAATTTCTGGGATTTTTGGTTCTTTTACTGAGATTTTCTCATCGATCGAGCCTAGGGTACAATTGAATTTCATCTCTTCGATCAATTTTTATCAAAAATTTCAGTTTTTTTTTACTTACTTATTTCCTCTCTAAATCCACACATAAAATTTCTCTGTGAGAAGCCATAGAATCATTTGCAGAAACGCGTGTCGATTGCATCTAATCCCCTCGGAACGTTTCTCTCTTCTCAATACCACATACCTCCCCCTCCCGAAAAACTTCTTTCAATTACCCTCACACACGGCTTTTCCCCGCCGGGTCGTGTGACTTTGATTTCTATAGATTTATTTTCTCATTTCATAGATTCATTTCTTTTTATAACTCTTTTCCATTTGAGAAGATGTACCGAACACTGCGTTGGACGGTAAATCGACGAAAGGATCCACTTTCGCTTTCACAACTTATTAAGGTCAAAATTAGTAGTTCATGTTGTGTTGTACCACTTCAAAAATATAATGAATATAGAAACCCAAAACCCTTTAGCATAAAGTCTTCTTTTATTACTAACTCATTTTTCTCTATTTAGATCGAGATCGCGCCCGAGAAGAAGGTGATCAAGGGAATTTTGAGACCACTCGGGCTGAAGAAGGAACCACGCCGAATCGAATTCGACCCATTAGCTCTTCTCTTGGATGCGGCTCTCGAAGGAGAAATGGACCTCGTTGTTTCTTGTGCCAAAAAGGTTTGTCTTCGCATTTATTTTCTTTCTCTTTTCATTAATCTTCAAGTGTTGTGGAAAGAACCAGACAAAAATGGTTGTCTAGGACATTTTCAAAATTGGAACAGAATTAATTTTTAAGTGCTTTGTCTAGAATTTTAAAGTTTTTGTTTTTTTAAAACCTGTTGTTTTAGCTTCCCGATGTCTCAGCTGCGAATGATGAGGGGATCACCGCTCTTCACAATGCGATTTGCGCAGGTCACTACGAGATCGTGAGATTCCTCATCGATAAACATGCTGATGTTAATGCTCAGGTAAATTTTATTTGGCTCAAGTTAATAGAATCTTCATTAAGAAAATTTTTATGTTATTGATTTTTAGGATTCTGATGGTTGGACTCCCCTTCATTGTGCCGCTTCTTGCAACAATTTGCCGATGGTTCGCTTGTTGGTTGAAGGTAAGTGTCTAAATTTTTTTCATTTCGTTTCATTTATTTAATTTAAACTAGATATTCTATGATTTAGGCGGTGCTTGTTTACTTGCGGCCACCCTTTCCGATATGGAAACACCAATTGAGAAATGTGAAGAAGAGGAGGATGGTAAGCATTTTCAAAGCATCTTTATTTCCAGAAGATTCAAGTGAATTGCTTATAAGTTAAACTAATGTTGTTCAGGCTACGATGGTTGTTTGAATTACATGCTCTCGGCTCATAATGCTACTGGTGTCGTCAATGGAGGAAAGGTGCAAAAATTTGGTTTAATTTTTTTTAAGTAGTGGTAAAAAGTGGATAGCAATTTAAAATAAAATCTGTTTCAGATCTATGCTGCTTATTCATATGATGCTCAATATGAGGACGAGTTGTCGTTTGAGGGTGGCGATGAGTTAAGAGTGCTACAGAAAGATGATGAGGAGAAGGGGTGGTGGAGGTGAGATTTGGACTTATTTACGAGAACATCTTTGTTACACTTTCAAGTTACTGTTTTAGATGTGAACAAAAGCTGACGGATGGCTCGTTGCAGAATGGCCTTTGTCCGCGGACATATCTCTCCTTGTATCCAGCAATCAAGTACCGCCAAAAGTGAGTTGTGTATTTGGATTTTAAGAATATTGGCTTAACTGTATGAGTTTGACAATCGTGTTGCAATGAAGATTTCATTTGAAACATTTAGACTCAACTTCGTGCCCTTCCAAATCCCCAATGAGTCGAACAACAACGCAGCAGAAAAGCTGGGCAAACCTCAATGATTTTTGCTACGAACGACTTTTTTTTAATAACTTGTATTCCCTGCCCGTTATGGGTTCCACAAGCTACCTAGTGCCTTTCGATTTTGAGAATGTATTTTGTTTAATAACTTGATCCATGTCAATTTTTTTCTAGTTGTGTACAAATCGATTCTCTTTCTTTATTCGTTTATGTCTTACCTCGAGAGAATTCTTTGAAACATAATGTGTTTTTGATATGGAAATTTCGATCAATGGTATTATTTTTGTAAACTCATTTTTACTTCTTGTTGATTTGTCATTTTCTCGAAGAATTGAGAAAATAGTGCAACTTTTTTCTCAACCCGAACTTCCCGCCATGCATAGTTTCTTACCTAGCGCGTTATAGACAAAAATTAAGCGACTAATGAATCCAACCATTTTTTTTTTTTTTTTGCGATGATCTGTGATTATTACAACCTTTTTCTTCTCACACTTTGTATACTTACAGATTTTATCGTTTCGTTGAAAGTTGTCATTTTTGTAATATTTGCGTTCTTTTGCTCAAATGAACGAAGTGAAAAGAGAAATAAAAGGATTAGATTTTGAAAAACTTTTCGCTTTCCGGGAATTTCACAACGTAAAAAATAAAATGATAACATCATTTTATGCCAAAAGATTACCACAAACAAAATGCAGCAAAACATGCTCATACCAGACTTGCTATCCGACCGAAATTCTGTTGGATCGAATCGGAAAAGTTTCAATTCTCGATAGAGGCTTTTATCGGATCGATCCGATGGATGGGATGGGGTCATCGAATCGGATTCAATCCGATGTAATCCGGATTCGATCCATCGGATGGCAAGTCTAGCTCATACGCGACAATTGAGACTATCAAGGCGACAAATCAGAGATCAACTTTCGGAAGATTCTCAGCGATGTACTCCCGAAACTTCTTGCTCGTTGGCTTCAAGTTTTTGTCGTTTTCACGCCTCATTCCTAAACAATAAATACTGGAAAATGGACAATAGATTCTGTAAGTGACAGCTTTTGCAAAACACACTGGATCATAGTTACCAGAATGCGGTTTGTCTTCAAACGAATCATTTGTGGCTTATTTTTTTTTGGATATTGTAACTTTTAGATGTTAAAATCAAAGTAAAACAGTAAAATCGTTGTTCGAAAGCCGTTATCGTCAAAACAGTAATATTGTTATCGCTGCCGGAAGATTTAGGACTTAAAAACTTTTCAAATTTCAAGGAATAACATAAACTAGCGATTTTACAAATGGTTAGTGTCAAAAACTAATGAAATTAGGCGTAACCATAAGCAAAACGAAAAATTGCGCCGAAAAAAAAATGGAGCAAAGAATTCCCGCAAATTTTTCTAAGACGTGGTGAGATTTAAGTCTTTTTTTCGATGCTTCTCTACAATAAATAGATATTCAATTGAATAGATGAACTTTACGTTTAATTTTGCGACATTTGAATTTATCCGCTGAATATAAACTTTTGGAATGCGCAATTTGTCATATTTTTTCTCTCTCCGATGGATTCTTTCAAAGCAAACTACGAGGACGAGGAGTACTACCATGGATTGCTCCCGAGGTATGTTTCATTTTTGCTTTCGTTTTTTTGCTTTCCCTTTACCCGTTGGCGAGTTCTAGCCATTATCAAGAAGCCGCCTTAAGCAGGCTTTTTTTATCATTTTGCATTTCGATATGCTGTTTTTGGCTTTTTGCTAAACTTTTAGCAACACTAGATTTTTCAAGCATTAGGTAAAGCTAGGCAGGCTAATTTGGCTACAAAGAATTTTAACTTTTTGTAAGAGCTTACAACTATAAAGTGTTGTTGGTAGGTTGATAGCAGTACATTGTTAAAATTTTTACCCTCTATTAAAACTTGTTAACTGATTTCTTTTTAGAGAGGATCTGCCGCTGCTTTTGCGAGCACCGGGCGACTTTCTCCTGCGGACATCACAATCAAAGTTAACCGAAGAACGAAAGCTGATTCTCTCACTGGCTGTTGCGCCCGATGTAAGCCTTTTTAAAGTATAATTGAAACTTCACAGTGTACTCAGTCTCGAGTCAATAAGTAGTACTGAAACTATAGAATGTTTCCGACTGTTTCAGTTTTACTTACGAAATCATGTCTACATGATAGAATTGATTACGTTTAAATCCATAAACTATGCTTTTTTTCATTTAGAATTTTGTAAGAGCTTACATGTTTCATTTTAACTCTTTAAATTTAGCCTACGAATCCAACAATTTCAACACCGAAGGAAGGCAATAGTGGAATTGGAGCGGTTGTTCCATCGCACATCAGTGGATCCGCATCGGCTTTGGCTGAGACTGAAAAGCGACAACACCCACACCCAAAGAAACCTGAGGTCGGTTTGAACTATTGATTGGTTTTTGCTGTTTGTCCTTTGGCTCTGATTTTAGTTTAATTCTAAGTTAGTTCTAATTCATTATACTAACAGCTGTCACGTGAAATGCTGCAAATGGCGGTCCAATTTTGTTGTTTAATTTTGCCAAGTCGTGTATTGATTTTGTTGATTTAGAGTTCTGGCCTTCGGCGTTCGCGTGAGGGGACACGAAAGCTCAAGACTGGTGACAACGCCGCAAGAGCCCATCCATCCGTTTCGAAGATTTCGATGATGAAGCCGCACACAAAAACTACCCGACTTTCGAAAACCAGCCACGAGAAGAAGCCTACCGAAAGTTCCGACATTGTCAACTCAGGATGCAGTGCACCAAGCAACTCAGGATCCAGTGTGCCTGGTAGCCTGAAGTCAACGGTTTGTTCCACTTTTGCGAAAATTTAGCTTTAATTATGCTACAGCTAACTGAGCTTATTAGTTATTAATTTTTTTTAGCTCCGCCACTTTATTCTCACTCCAGAGGTAACGACTCCACCGTCTCGCTGGACAAACGATAAAACGCTCACGGCAGACACCCCCGGTGAACTTATCCAAATGTATCGGCTCTCTAGGCAACCGATAGATAAGAAAGTGAGTTGAATGTATTGTTGTCCAGGTGCATTTTGTATGCTTTAGTCTCCAAACACGGTGCTCATCAATCCAATCAAACGACCACCTTGGGAACTCAGACACGACAATGTGACTCTGCAAAAGAAAATCGGCGAAGGTTTAAAGTTTATGAACAAGCGACCATGGTTTGATTTTAGGACAGTATGGTGATGTGTGGACTGCAAAGCTTCGTATTCGGCCACATGTAGGCATCAACAAGGAAATCGATGTGGCGGTGAAGCAAACAAAAACGGAGGAGAGCATGAGCAAGGAAAAGGTGCGGGTAAATGACTGACTAAACCTCATCTTGTCTTTCTAGATTAAGGAAGTGATGAAAGAGGCCCGTTTGATGCGAAATGTCGATCATCCGAATGTTGTGAAGCTTTACGGTGTGGTGGTCGAAAGGGAGCCGTTGTTGATTGTCATGGAACTGGTTTGTTTTTGAACTTTTCGCCTTTAATTCTATATCATATTTTTTTAGGTGGACGTCGGAGGACTCGACAAATATTTGTTGCTTACTGGAGATAAGTTGAATGCCGAACTTAAAATCTCGTTCATTCAAGTAAGTTTTTAACGTTCGAAAGCTGGATTAATGTTTGTGTTTTAGGATGCCGCATGGGGAATCGAATACCTTCATCACAAACGAATCATTCATTGTGATTTGGCAGCCCGAAATTGTTTGATTGCTACGACGTATCAAGGACTTATGGTATGGCTTTATCTAACTTTTCCACTAAAATTTTGAATGTTTAGGTGAAAATCTCGGACTTTGGACTTTCGCGAGAGGGTGAAACCTATTCCCTCCGAGAGAAGAAAAAGATGCCGGTGAAGGTAAGGAAAACTTTAAAATAGTATAAAAATATTTTTTTTAGTGGCTCGCACCAGAGACAATCGAAACTTTGACATTTTCGCTTAAGAGTGACGTTTGGGCCTTTGGAGTTCTTGGTAAATGAATTACATCCTAATGGTATAGCTAATTGCTTTCTCTTTACAGTGTGGGAGGTTTTTGCGAACGCCGAGGAACCGTACAATGGATTGACGAATGCGGACACGAAAGCAAAGGTAATTTGAGTATATTTTTTAACTTTTAAAATTTTGTTTATTTAGGTGTTAGCTGGTGGACGGCTCGAATTTCCGATCACCACGCCGGCTGAAATTCAACTACTCATTTTGAAGGACTGCTGGGAGCAAACGAGCGTGAAACGAGCCACGATGACTGTGGTTTGTTTCATTGTTTTTTCAAGTAGATAAGTAAATGCGCGAGCTCAAGTTTTTAAGCTTTATATTTTGTCGAAGGTAACTTTGAAAATTTGAATATTTTTAGGTGTCTCAAAAACTCGAGGTGATCAGTGGGAAAACGCCACCCGATCAACAGCAATCGGTACGTCGTACAGTTCTTCAAGGAAACCAGAGCACTCAACCGATTCAACAACCGCCCAAACCACAGCCACATCAGCTCCCATCGGTGATCACTTCAATCTTCAATAATCAATACTATTTTGTTTCTTTCAGATCAAGCAGCAAGTCGCCGGCTCTCAACACGCCGCCCAGACCCCAGTACAAAGCAACATGAAGGTACATCTATGTTTTTGCTCTTGTAATTTTATCATTTTAGCCTCTCGTAAAGCCCAAGTCTCAGCACAAAGTGAGCAAAGGAGTGTCGAATGACCACGGAAGTACGGGATTACTTTTTCGGATTTAAGATTTAGATTGAAACAAGCAAATAGTTTTTAATTTCACCGGAAATTTTTATTATATTCCTTTATTTAGCTAAATCGGGTCGCCGAAAGCATTGATGTGTTGCCTGCATGCGCTCAACCCAACGAAGAATCTTAAATGGAACATAAGTCAAAACTATTTCTTTGATGTACTTAATAAATTGTCGCGCTGTTTGTGGTGCTTTGGTTTGAAGAATTTTGTGAAGTAGGGTTGTTGATTGGGGAAGACGAGTGGGATTTTTGAGGAAACGTTAAAAAACAGCAACGTTTTCATGAACATGGCAAAGATTTGCTGAGATGAATAATTGGGGTTATCTAGAAATAAAATCTTAATTCTAAAATAATTGTCGCGAAAATTGAAACATTGTTTTCGAAATCGCCTTCTTCATCGCCTTTGTGCTATTTCTGGTCTATGACATAATTTTCGAGGCGTAAATCTATAAATTACCTCTTTTCTGGGTAATTCCCACCCCCCTCACATGGCTTTGTCCTTTTTTTGATATTCAACTATAGGACTATGGGCTTTTTGGGGAAAATGATCGAATTTCAAGTGGGGACTCTGACTGGCTCTTGTGCGGCTCTAGCCAGCCTTCCCCCTCTCCTACCTGCTTAACCCGGAAAATTTCGGGTCGCCCACCCATTTTTCTCATCGAATCAACTGCTTTTTCTTCGTTTTATGAATTGGAAATGAAATGATTCACTTTCCCATGCCAATGACAAAGCCACAATTTGCATTCAATCCCTATCTGTGCATTTGTTTCAAGAGTTTTTCTTACAAATAGCACAGCACATGATGTGCTAGTGCTGTGCTATTGCTGTGCTATTTGTGCTATTGCTGTGCTGTGCTATTGCTGTGCTAGTGCTGTGCTATTTTGCTAGTGTTGTGCTATTGCTGTGCTATTTTGCTATTGCTGCGGGCCGGTTTTTGGCTCCCGTTTTGTTTTTTTTTGTTTTGGGGGTTTTTTTTTATTTATTTTTGCCTTGTAGTTAAATTTTTTTGATTTTTTTGGGGTTTCCTTATTAATTTAATTTTTTTTTTTATTTTTTAAAAAATTTTTTTTTTTTTTTGTTTAATTTTTTTTTTGGTAAATTCTCGGCATTGGTTTTTTATCAAATTTTTAAATTTGGGGGAATAATTTTATTTTTAAATTTAAAATAATTTAAAAAAATTATTTTAAAAAAATATATTTTGAACTTTTTTTAGGGTATAGTTTTTTTTTTTTTGAAATGGTTTTTTTTTTAAAAAAATAATTTATCTTTAAAGGGGGGGGCGCGTTCTTTGAAAAAGGACCGGGGAAAGGGACCCATTTAAAAAAGGGCGGTATTTTTTTAATAGGCCCTTTTTTGAAAACCAAAAATTTTTTAAAAATTTAAAAGAAAAAAAAAGGGGTAAAAAACTTTCAAAACATTTTTATATTTATTCTTTTTTTTTTTTTCTTGGGTGTTCTGGACAGCCGGGCCCACCCCGTTCCCCCAAATGAAAAGCGGAATTGACCCGGGGCCCTCTCCTACTTCTTTTTTTTGGTTTGCTTTTTTTTTTTGGTTTTTTTAGGATTTTTTTGTTTTTTTTTGTTCTTCGGGGAGGATTTTTATTTTCCAATAGTGGGCCCCCGGGGAAAATTTAGGAGGTTTTTCCAACAGAACCGAATTTTTTGGATTTTTTTTTTTTTTAGGGGGGATGTTTTTTTTTTGTGTTGTTTTATTTTAAAAATATAAAAATAATTTTTTAAATAAATATAAAAACGGCACAAGGGAAAAAGGTAGAAAAAAAAAAAAAAAAAAGGAAAAAAAAAAAAAAAAAAAAAAAAAAGAACTTTTCAAACAAGAAGGCCCCCTTTCCAAAAGCCCCCCGGGGGCCCTTAATAAAAATTTCCCCAAGAAAAAAAAATTCCCCCTCCCAAGAAAATTCTTCTCCCCCCCCAAAACACTTTCTTTTTCTTTTCTTTAATTGGAAATAAAAAAAATTTAAGAAAAAAGAGGGTAAAAAAAAAAAAAAAAAAAAAAATAATAAAAAAATTTTTTTGAATAAATTGTTTTTATAAATTAAAATTTTTCAAATTCCGTTTTTTTGGGGGTTGTTGGAAAAAATTTAAGAAAAATTTAATTAAGTTTTTTTTATAATAAATTTTTTTAGAAAAAACCTTAATTTTAACTTTTCGTTTAAAAAAAAAAAAAAAAAAAATCTCCTTTTTTTTAAACAAAATAATTTTTTGGTGATTGTGGGTTTGTGGTGAGATTTTGTGGGGGTGTCAGCACTGGCACTAGCAAAATCCTCTCCTTTTTCCCTGTTTACATTTAATTTCCGACAATACTTTTTTGCAAACAACCATTTGTTTTGTGCAAAAGGAGACGTAATTATCGCTCACAAAAGTCACGATCCGTTGTGAGCAAATGGGTGGCTATTTTAGTTGTTTTTCAGAAGTACAACTTTTTTCCAAACGGATTGAAAACTGTAGCCTATTTGGAAATGTAATTATGAGCTTTTTGAACACCGATAATGCATTTCTCTTGAGTTTTAAATTGGTTTCTAATTTTTCTAAGTCCCTGTTTACATTAACTTTCACAAAACTACCCTAACTTTTACTCAATTCATCCTATTTTTGTATATGTCGTAGCCGATTATGAATCATTCATAATCGGCTACGACATATATTTCGATATTCTTTGTAAAGAAAAAAATTATCATAATATTTCAGCCATTTTCAATTTTAACACTTTTCAATTCTAATCAATGCACTTTTTTTTTGATAATTTTTTTTTCCCTTTATCCCCCTGATGTTATCTAATCAAATCCATCGCTTCTCATTCATTGGATTTTATGTCATCAGCTTTTTTCTCTCTTAAAGATGGGCTAAATCTGGGGGAAAAGGAGGAGAAAAGAAGGCTTAATTCGCATAAAAATATTAAGCCGAGAATATTGAAGATGGGGATTAGACGGGAAGAAAATCGAAAGAAAAGGAAAAATCACCCCAAGTTACCCGATCGAATCTCGAATACAATATGCCAAGCAACTAAGCGATTTCCTCGTTTTGCACTTTCTTTGTGAAATTGAGCCGTTTCTTCTCTATTTTTGTGCTCTAAAACATTCTTAGATTTAGAGATTTTTATGTCTTTTGCAAGAGTTATGTAAAATTTGCGTTTTTAATGTTAATGATAGAGTTTTAAAGGAGTTAATGCTGTAAAAAAGGAGCAAAAAAACTCGATTGTCCTTCTCTCAATTGGTTTTCTAAAACGCGTCCTTTTTCTTTAAAATTGGGAGTGGCTAGTTTGGGCCAAATTTTTTTGCGCAACTCGCTTTCTGCTATTGAACAATTTCTTTTTTCGAATGTATGACGCGTGGCGACGTCATTGTTATTGGGAGGAACACACTCCTAGTAGTAAGACAAAGCACCATATAGGGTAGGCTACTTTGCGCCAATTTTTTGCGCAACGGGCATTGGGAACTTCGCCATAATTCTTCTAAGTCGGTCAATCTTTATGATTTTGTAGATATCAACAAGTGTAACAAAATGACACCAAAATCATAAAGATTGACCGACTTAGAAAAAAGTTATGGCGAGTTGCCGAAATGATCCAGTTGCGCAAAAAAAATTTGGCGCAAACGGAAAAGCGTTAAGTTGCGTAGTTTTTGCCTTTTAGCCCAAATTTGAGGTGTCAGCGAGATCTGATTTGTCGAAATTCGGAATCTACGCATACGATTCCCTCCTATGAAAACACTTTTGAAGCTCTACGACCTTTCCTAAGGCCTTTTCCAGCAAAAAAGGTGCGCAAATGTCCAGGTGCGCAAAAAAAGGTCGCATTTGTCCCACCCCCCGCGCAAACTAGCCACCCCATTAAAATTATCGTACTTTTGTCTATTTTTATCGAATCTATTCATTTTTTTGTATATCCTTGAATGCTCACTGAAATAGACTAAAAAAGAAATTTGATTTGATAAAAATAGAGACAGAATTACGATAGTTTTGAAGGGGCAGGTTTTAGAAAACTCAGGAAATCGGTTTTAGAAAGCTCAGGAAATCGGCGCTCAGGAATTGGCCCCGATTTAGAGGGAAATAGAGAAAATTCAAGAAATTATGTTCTTTCCAGATTTTTTTTATATATTCTTGAATTACGGTAGTTTTGAAAGGGTCAGCTATTAGAAAACAGAGATTTAAATTCACTTTTCAGCTTTTTGAACTAGAAGAAAAGTTCTTTTAATTGTTGAAACTTTAAAAGAAATAAAAGCTAAAAACTAAAAATTTCATTCAAAAGATTTTCTCTAAAAATTTACACAGTTGGATCCAAAAAAAAAACAATTTCAGGGATTCCAAATCGACAAAAAATGACAACTTGGTGTTTTTAGCTTTCATTTCGAATTTGATTTTAAATTTGATTTCAAATTTCAATGCTTTTTTTTTCATACTATAAATAATTTAATGCAACAATTTATAGAATTTTTTAAATGTTACTAAGTTTTTGATGGCTTACAGCTCCCTGGGGCGTTGTTTAGCTTGGAAAAGTTGTTTAGAAAAAAAAAAAAGAGTATCTCATCTCAAATTTTCAATGGGATTTCCCGTAATTTTTAGAGATATTTTTAGATTTCTGATTTAAATTTGATTGTTTTTTAGATTTAATATTGTTTCTTTCTAGATTTTTATGCTATAAGTGGGAGTGGGACAAATGCGATGATAAAAAAATATCATTTTCTGCATTTTCTTTTCTGGAAGGGAATTCACCACCAAATCAGTTAAACGGCTGAGTATCTTTAAAAAGTGTCGTATATAATGCGAGGCTCGTCATTTTTGCGTCATTTTTTTGCAATAATTTGGGGAGTGGGACAAATGCGACCTTTTTTTTGCGCACCCGGACATTTGCGCACCTTTTTTTCCGCACCTTGCCGATTAGCGCACCTTTTTTTCCGCATCTTGCCGATTAGCGCACCTTTTTTCGCATTTTAAAAAAGCCTCTAAAAGCTAATATTAACCAATTTCTATTCCAAAAGTTCTTTTTCTAGGTAATTTTAGGGCGTAGAATCGAAATTTTGGCATATCAGAGCTTGTGGAAGCGAACGGACGGAGTTATACAAAGAGAAAAAT